CATGAATTGATCAATGTACCAAAGCGTCGTTGGCAGGTACACGCTGCACTGTGATGCAAACGTGGGCTCGTGGCGGCACACGGAGCGATAGTCGTCTTGGCGCGGAAGACGAGCCAAGACGGCGCCAAAGACGTACTGCTGCCGCGACGGCGTGATGCGGGTGATGACACCGGACGCTGACATGCAAATGCCGCCGTACGAGATTATCTGACGCAGCCCGGCTTGGAGCGACTGCGGCATCGAAAAGTCGGCGCAGAGTGGCGATCCCCCAAAGGTGAGGAGGCCGGGGGCTAAGAACGCCGCTGGCACGGGGTAGGTTGCATCCAAGGGCGTAATGTTGTAGTAGGCGGCTTGAGCTGCGAGACTGGAGGGTAGCGGTGCCCGTGTGAGCTCCAAGAGCAACGAAGTGAGCTGTTGCAACTCCAGTGGCGGAGCCACGTAGACCATATCCATCGAGCCAAACGGGCCAAGGTACGAGGTGGTGAGCTGCAGACTTTGAGGCAAGGGCGACGGCAGCGTCCCATTGATCACGTAAACATCCGAGAGAGAGATGTTGGTAAAAGCGTAGGTGGCACTGGACCGCAACAGACTGCGACCACCAATACCAGACGAGTTGGATGCCACGGCTGAGAGATCGTTGGCCAGCGACCAGTACATTTTGAACGTCGTCTGGCTGCCTCGGCGATATGTGCCGGGTTGGGACGCTAGCGTCAGCGGGTACTCAATGCCAAACGCGTTGATGATCGAGTAGCTGTTGCGAACTCCGAGCTTCTTGTAGTTTTGCCACTGTATTTGATACGTTGTGAGGCCAAACGACCGCCAGTGAACAGCTTCGTCACTCGCACTCAGCTGAGGCGCTGTACCAGAAACCATGTCCAGCCAAGCGCGACCTTCCGACGACAACTTGAGCTCGGCACCGATACCAATCTCAAAGCCCGTGCCCCAGCAGCTATGAAAGCTGCCGAAATCCACGTTGCGCAGAACGGTCTCCAAGTACACGGCGCCGTTGGTCGTCATACTCGCGTCGCACCTCGCTTGGCGCTTGGCCGAGTTGGCCATCGTCCACGACCTCTTCAGGTCAAGATAGCAGTACGGAGAAAAGATCCAGGGTGCTTCACAGCCATTCGAGCGTCTCAGTCCTTCAATCGTCGCCTCGATCGAGCTCAGTAGCGTGTGCTGGAGGTAGGCGCCGTAGTTTTGAGGCGACGCCACAAGAGCTGTCGATGACGCAAAGGATGTCATGGCGTTGATACTCGGTCGGTCGAGCGAGAGATCAAGCATGGTGGTATTGCCAATGATGAGTTGTTCGTTGAGCCAGTTGGCTAGGAAGGCGTGGGCACCCGTGGTGTTGAAGGTGGCCCAATAGACATCGTTGGCCAAGTTGACTTCTGAGACGTTGAGGTACGAGACAGAGCCAAGGATCGACGACACAATGTAGCTGAGACCTACGAGTTTGTACAAAAGTGTCTGCGCTCGTGCGTGTCGGTGGCCATCGTGGACGTCGTTGGCGTGGGGAGCGACAAACAAAGGCCCGGATGGCGCCTCGCGACGCGCTAGCGCTGGTCGTCGAAGCACCTTGGTCAGTTGTGTCGTGGAGAGAGTGTCTCTGAGAAGCAGCCAGAGCTTGACGTCAAAGGTGTACCGAACGCCCTTGCAGTCAATGGGTAGCAAGCCCGCGAGCACGCAGGCCACGTGGTCCAAGACGTACCGCGCATCGGTGGTGCCCCGCGCGGTTCGTACAAACGCCTGCGTAATGCCGTTCACGAGCAGCGAAGCCTCCACGTTCTTGGCCTTGACGGATCGCGGTCGGCGCTTTAAGCTGCCAGCTATGGACGCGACTGCGAAAGCACCGACTTGAACGAGGAGAATCGTGGCCACGCGGGTGCTGCTGCCCGTGGAAACGACGCCACTCGTGCATGCGAGGCCGAAGTCCAGCTGAACGCCGGTGCAGTGTCGCTGCAAGTCTCCAGCGATCGCAATCGGATGTGCTACATCCAGTGCGAGCAGGATCAGCCACGAAAGCAGACTTGCCATGGAGCTGTACTCTTTGGTGCCATCTCGAGTCAGTAGCACCAGAATGTCATTCGCCACGTAGGTGAGCCAGGTAGCCTCGCCCGTCACGATCACAGCTTCGTACCAACTCCGAGGCGTCGCGATAAACCGCGATGCACCAGAAGACGACGTCAGAAGCGACGCGTTGGCCGAGCTCAGTAGTACGATGGCCGACGCGCCCCGTAAAAAAGCTAATGGGCGACCGAGCCAAACGGCCCCCACGATCCGGTTGAAGAAGAAGAGGTTCAAACCGTTGAACTGGAACCGCGTCTTGACTGCATATACCAAGACAATTCCACCGACGCTGACAAGTATCACCGAGGTGGCGACCACAAGGTAGTAGAGAATCTGCGTGGCCGACTGCAGCGGCTGCGTCCCCGTCGTGTAGAGCTGCGGTGTATAGACGTTGGAGATGAGCGTGAGATTTCCGTTGTCGCCTTGAAACGAGACGACTTCGCGATTGCCGAGAACCCAATCAAAAAGAAAGACCCAGCCAAAGAACGCAAACGAGGGCTCGAGAAGTGCTTGTTTGAGGACGACCCACGAGCCATTGGCGGCAGTAGCGTACTGCATCAATCCAATCTCGAGACCAACTTCAGCCGCCACCGATGCATTCCAGACCAGCGGTGAGGCGAGGGACTGCAAGAGTTGGTCGGCAGCTGTGATGGCAGCAACGCAAGCTGCTGTCGGTGAGGCCACAGCGCATATGTCTTCGATGGACTGACTTTTCGTGGCGGGTCGAGCGAGCACGACCACCAACGGATCGAATACCAGTGTGAGTGGCTTGGGCTTGGAACAATCGTAAAAGAAATCAAACGACTGCTGCGCATACGTCGTCCGCGGCAGTGCCGTGCAGGTCGGATCTCCGCCGTAGAAGGCAAACGACCGCCACCCGAGCGGTGTCAACCCCACCGAGCTTCTCGGCAGCGCGGTCAAGAGGTCGTTCCCTGCGAGACGTCGACGTAGCGCCAAGAAGGCTTGGACAATTCCCGGTGGGACAGCAAAGTAGACAAGGTCGATGCTTTCAAACGGACCCACGGTACTTCGAAAGAGCGCGGCTTGGTTGAAGAATTGCCCGACGACCGACGTTTCCCCAATGTACACTTCGAGGTCCATGGCGGGGAGCGCGGCCGAAACATTGGCGCGGAAATCGCGCGATGACCCGCGCACGAGGCTTCGGTTCATGTCGTGGAGGTTCCAGAGATCGTTGAGAGGAATCCAAAAGAGACGAAGGGATGTCCACGGTCCTGTGAGCCGTGGGAGGTTCTTGATCGTCACAAGCTGCTGCATGCCGATGGCATTTTCCAGAAGGATGGTTTCCGTGATGCCTACTTGCCACCGGTTCTGCCACTGCAGTTGGAACCGATCCAACTGGAATTTTCGCCAGTAGAGAAGCTCGTCACGGATTGTTGTTGTATGGCGGGCTTGCGAGACCTGACTCAGAAAGCCTTGTCCTGTCGCGGTTTCTTCCAGGGCTCGCTGAACGGCGACCGTAAATGGCGCATCGTCGCCGCCCCAAATCGCAATAAAGTCAGCCCAAACCACGTTGCGCAAAATGGCTTCCATGTAGACGGCGCCGTTAGTCGCAAAAAACCGTTCGCAGCGGCGCTGGCGGGCGTCCGTGTGCGCAACTTCAAACGTTTTGTTGAAGTCAACCCAGCAGTGCTGCACGTTGATGCGCATCGACCAGGACCCGGACACGGTCCGGAGCTGCGGCACGGCGTACTCGATGGACGTGAGCTCGCTCAAGATGGCGCGGCGGGCGTAGGTGGGCAGAACGGACGTGGCAGCCGTCGACGCGTTGTAGAGCTTGTACATCGTCGCATCGGCGGCGTAAATGTTCAAGGCGGATGTCGCGACAAGTGCCAGCTCCGCGTTGACGAGGTCGATGAGCAAGGCTTCGCCACCCGTAGCCGTGAAGCCGGCCCACCACAGATCATTGGATAGACTTGGCGAGAGCAGCGAGAGGTACCAGAGACCGATGCTAAGCGAGGTGACGAGATAGACGACACCAGCCGCTGCAAGCGCCCACTGGGACCGCGACGGCGCCACGTGCTCGACCAATCGCGCCGAGGGGGCCACCGCGATCGAGCGACCCAGCATGAACGTTTGTGTAAATAGCAAGGCGGTTGAAACGCCTTGGAGTTGCTCTATTTTGGTGTGTCAAAGAAATCTACAAAACGGAATTGGTAGACGAGCGAGAATAGCAGAAGCGGATCTGCACGACGGCGACGTGAAGGCCATATGTTTGGTAACAACGCAATGGCAGTCTCTCGTTTGGTCGTACCTACAATACATGTACGAAACCAGCCGCCAGAGACGCATCCTGAAAAGCCATTTTTCCGCGCCGTGTCATACTTGCCAAGACCTCGATAGCATCGAATGACTGGCGCAGAGATCCGCAAAGTCGGTCTTCGTACAGCTTGAACTCGCCATCAACGAAGCCAGCTGCGTCCGGTTGCATCAATGTCCTTGCGTCCGTCGACTTGCGTGAGCGATCGCGCACGTTCAAAGCCACGTTGACCGCTCTGATGGTAGCTCCGACAGGATAAAACTTCATACATGTCCGACGACGACATGCAAGCTCTACTCGCGCTAAGCTTGCTCACGAACGCAACCATAAAACACCTTTCTAAATTTCAAGCAATTCCTCACAAAATCTTAGTTCACTTATGTATGGCAAAAAGGCGCCTCAATCGACAGCACGAATCACGACAACCCAACGTCGTCACGACCTACATCGGCGTCGCTGCGATCTACAACACTCTAAGCGTCGTCGCTCGTGGCTCGTGGCTCGAGGCGGCGTGCGCGAACGTTCATGGAAGTCGGAGACCATCACTCACGCATCGGATCGACCATCATTCGATGCACCTGGGTGATTTGCTGCAGATTTGAGATTGCCTTGCGCTCTCAGATTTCATTTTGCCTTCAAGTGCAGAAGCCAACAAATGCTTGCGTGCGCCACCACCTTGACGCCTTCGACAACACTTCTCTCGACAATGCGCAGCTACCGCCCAACGCACGACGCCCTCGCCGGTCTTGTGAGCCAGATCACCATGCTCTCGAGCGATGCGCTCGAAGGCCTTTTGACCCTTGTCGCGCAGTACGAGCCATCGCACGTTGCCAACTGCAGCTGCGACGAAGTCGAGCTCGACCTGGAGCGCCTCCAGCCGCTGACACTCATGGCAGTCGCCCAGTACGTCACGGTCTGCCAACTGCGCTGAAAGGTCAGCAGCTCGTTGTTACACGGACGACATGCAGACTCTACGCCATCACACCATCAACCATAGCTGCCAAGCTCAGCCGCATGCCCACAACGACGCCACTCGTCGACGTGCCAAGGGCGCGCGATCCGAATCCAGTAGACTTACAAGCGACACATAGTAATCCCATTTTAATTCGAAGATTTCCTAGTCTCTGGAATTCCTTCCAAGATATAAGGTCACGACAACACTCCGGTACAAGAGCTTGTTGCTACGCCAGCCCTTGCTAAGTAGAACGCGCATAGCTCATGCACTCTAATATTATGAGAACAGCGGTATCTTATTATGAGAACAGCGGTATCTTAATCATAATATAGTACGTCTCGTCTGACTTCTCGCGTGGCTTCCGCGGTGAGGACCTCCAAGCGTCCAGCAGCGCCAAATCTCTTCGCATGTCCCGGTTCTTTTCTTGCCACGTGGTGCGACTTGGTCACACGTGAAAATGTGTGTGTTTTATGCGTGTTTTATCCCATGTCCCTCAATCGCGTTCATGCATCCCATCGGGCGGTATGCACCGATACATTACTGCTTCGATGAACGAGTTCAAGGTCGACGAAGCGAATTGCTCGTCGAAACGACCTCTGCAGCAGGTCATACCACTGTCCTCTACATGGGACCCGGTATCCGCACGATTGATCCTTGCGCGGGCACTTGCATCAACTTCGTTGTCCATCGTTGCGTGCAAACTATGGCTACAATGCACCGAGTCGCACCCGCATTGAATGCAGTGCATGCCCCGCAGCTACTACAGTAGTATGTACCATGCATGGCGAGGACGGAAGGAGCGATACCGGGCGGTTTTGTGGTTTTACACGTGAAAAACGTCGGAAACACAGGTGCTCCAAGTGCCAAGTGTTGAGGTGGCAGCCTGCGGCACCAGCTGGGCTCCGACTCGATCGCACGCGTAATGCAAGTGGCGGCGACGGCTCTCTATCGCCGCTCCATTCCGCGATTGCATGTCGCTCGCCCGCTTCAGCTCGCAGTTCTCGCTGAACCGGTCGCCGCTGGCCAAGGCCGCCATGCCGCAGTCGCACGAGGTCCAGCGCCGTCGCGTCTCGCTCATCGGCCGTCTCTTCGCCTCCAGCGAGCCGCGCGATCCCATTTACCAGCCGCCGCCTCTACACCCAAAGAAAGCGTCGTCCAAGCGGTCGCTCGCCGACACTCCGGATGCCGATGACCCGCCGACCGTGCGGCGCGCCGACGCCAGCGAGA